GATGAATTAAGTATCATGTACTTTTTCAAGGGTATAAATACTACCTTCTTAGTTAAAAATATGATAAACAAGATCAACAAGGAAAGGCGGCGTTCAATGAACGCAACCCCCATATGACCCAGCAACAAGAACCAATGGCAAGGAGCCCAGGCGGACCCCAAACAAAAAAAGGACAGGGCAACGCAAGTGAATCATTAAACAGACATATTTGCGGGAACATTCAATAAATGATAATTGCCATTTACTGGCTGCAACTTCATATTGAAATGACTCAGAAAGCGGGGGTAGTGGTCGAGCTGCTTGACGCCATGCATAGAGGTAAAATATATTAATATCGTACTACAATTCATAAGTAATAGAATAACATTTAATGTTACATATTTTACAAACATTGGATCGTGCAATTGGAGTAAATATGTACATTAAACGAAGTGTCTCATAAGCCTCGGACGCTGGTCCTTGAGTGATTATAAAATTGATTTACAAGCTTTTTACATACTTTTAAAACATAAACATTCACCTAACAGCAAATCTTAAAATTAAAGGAGAAGCAGTATTGATCAACATTTTTTATGAATGATAACTCGTCCATATCTTATCAGGTAAGAGAAGACAGACGAGATGGTGGACTAGAGACGGGCTTTTACAAAGACCACTTCATGTTTAGTATGAGGCTCTCATGACCGAACTTGTTGAGGATCCAGCGTCCTTCAAAAAAATCACTTTAATCGGACCTGATGTGTCTCGGGGATCGCACGCGGTTAGGCCGAATCCTCTCCGCCAAAATCATTGAACTCTGCAATTCGTTTTCTAGGTGTTCTTTTCTTGTGAAGAATTTTGAAAATGAGCATGCAAGAGGTTGTGGACGGATGTATTAGGTCCGTATAGATCCGTTGCAATTCGTGCTTCTCCGTATCAATTCGTTCTTCTCCGTATCAGACCGTACATATTCGTACTAACCCGTGCTTATACCGTAGCAGACCGTAGTGTATCCGTAGTGTGTCCGTCCTGATGCGTGTCGCTCCGTATCAAACCGTGTCGGTCCGTAACAGTCCGTGTCTCTCCGGGGGCTTTTGGTGGTAAATCCGTCGGACTCCGTACTCATACCGTTGTTTGTCCGTACTGGAATCGTAGCGGACTACGAAATTTCACATTTCCGTAGTAATCCGTGAACGTTTAGACCGTAGCTCTTCCGTGGCATTATCCGTGAATATGTGACCGGGGCATTAAGGCATCGAGTACTTTGGTAATGGTCATTAGGCTGTAACTTTTTCAACATATTTACATAATTTTGTTGTGTTTTATTTATTTCGTCTAATGTAACCATGACCATTGTTAGAATTTCACTTGGCGGTGATTAATTTTATATACATTTGTGTCATTCAGGAACCTATTGGGGCTAAGAGTGAGGTTTGGCGCGCCTAAAACCGGTTTAAACTCCCCAGTGGTTTAACTACCACTGACCGTTCCAAGGCGGTACCCCTTTGTGTTCCTTCACGTGTTTTTCTTGTCTATATTGTTAGTACATGTTTTGTGATGTCTGTCTGTTGGATTGTCGTTGACGGTAGGTATTTTCTCTTCCCGCCCCCTCTTCCATCCCCCCCACCTTTTCAGCCCTTTTCCCTTTAATTCCCTTATGGCCCCGTTTTTGTTAGCTCGACTTTTTTTTTTTTAAAGTAGAGGTATTGTTATAGTCGGGTCGGCGTTGCCGTTGCCGTTCCCGTCCGCAAACGTGTACCTGGGTCATAACATTTTTATTTCTTGATGTATTGTCTTCATACTTGGCCACAACAACCCTTGGGACAAGACCTTTCAGTAGACTACACTAACTTTGACCTTCATCCATAGATGACCTTGACCTTCAATGTAAAAAGTCCAATTTTTGCTTGTTCATGCTGTTATTGGCTGTAACTTTTTTATTTTTGAATGGATTGTCTTCAAACTTGAACATAATAATCTTCAAGGATATCCCTTATAAAGAACCAGCCAGACCTTGACCTTCACTCATAAATGACCTTGACTTTGAAGGTCAAAATATTGAAATTTTCATTTTTTTGGCTATTATTGGCTGTAACTTTGTTATTTTTGAATGGATTGTCTTGAATTTTGAACATAATTATCTTTAGGGATATCCCTTAAAAATAACTAGACAGACCTTGACCTTCACTCATAAATGGCCTTGACTTTGAAGGTCAAATTGTTGAAATATTCATTTTTTTGGCTAATATTGGCTGTAACTTTGTTATTTTTGAATGGATTGTCTTGAAACTTGAACATAATAATCTTCAAAGATTACTGTTTAAAATATACTGAAAGACCTTGACCTTCACTCATTAATGACATTGTTTTTTAAGGTCAAATTATTGAAATTTTCATTGTTTTGGCGGTAACTGACTGTAACTTTGCTATTATTGAAGGGATCAACTTCATATTATAACAGAACATTCTTAAGGACCAGACCTTGTTGTTTACCAAACCCAAATTTGATTGGGCTCTTTAATGACCTTGACCTTGAAGGTTAAATTACTGCATTTTCTCAGATTTGTGCATTAAATGACCATAATTATATATATATATATAATATATATATATATATATATATATATATATATATATATATATATATATATACATATCTTTCATCATCATCATCATCATCAACAACAACAACATGTTTCTATTTATAGAATTGCGTCATGTTTCTATTTATAGAATTGCGTCATGTTTCTATTTATAGAATTGCGTCATGTTTCTATTTATAGAAATTGCGTCATGTTTCTATTTTTAGAATTGTGTCATGTTTCTATATTTAGAATTGCGTCATGTTTCTATTTCGTCATGTTTCTATTGATAGAAATTGTGTCATGTTTCTATGTATAGAAATTGCGTCATGTTTCTATTTTTAGAAATTGCGTCATGTTTCTATTTTTAGAAATTGCGTCATGTTTCTATTTATAGAAATTGCTTCATGTTTCTATTTTAAGAAATTGCGTCATGTTTCTATTTATAGAAATTGCGTCATGTTTCTATTGATAGAATTGCGTCATGTTTCTATTGATAGAATTGCGTAATGTTTCTATTAATAGAATTGCGTCATGTTTCTATTTTCAGAAATTGCGTCATGATTCTATTTATAGAAATTGCGTCATGTTTCTATTTTTAGAATTGTGTCATGTTTCTATATTTAGAATTGCGTCATGTTTCTATTTTTAGAATTGCGTCATGATTCTATGTTTAGAATTGCGTGTTTCTATGTATATATATATACAAAATAGATAAACAAAACTAATGGGACCAGACAGACCAACTAAATTTATAAAAAGGAAACGTTAAGATATGTTTAAACCTTTCTATGTTTGCGTTTAGAAAAAGTAAAAAGTCGAGCGTTGCCCCCGCTCGGCGGTGGCTCTTGTTCATATTATTTCACATTACCTGTCCCACTCCTTTCGCCCTTGTGTCCACTCCATGTTTTTGTTTGGTGCCTTCTGGGTATCCTACTTGGGTGTGTCCGGGGGCAGCGTCCTGTGAACGTTGCCTTTGCCTTGTTGATCTTTATTCTTGTTATTTTCTTGAGGGATTCTGTTTCTCTCTATTTTAACAGGTCATTCCTTTATCCCCCTTCACACTATGCGGAAGAGGATTTATTTATTTATTTTTGGTGCACCATTAACCGGTTTAAACTCCCCAGCAGTCATAGTTATGCTGCTGACCGTTCCAAGGCGGCGCCCACTCTGTTCCTCAGATGTATGTCTATGTTGTTTCAGACTGTTTTGGTGACACTTTGGCTTGTGTCCCTTGTTGTTTTCTCGTCTACGGTAAGTATCTTCCCCATTCCCCATTGCCTCTAGTTTTTATTTCTTTGATTAACCCCCACCCCCTTCCCCCGGTCTCTGTCCCCTTCCCCTTTGTGGGCCTTTTATTATTTTCTTTGAATTCCTTATCAGCTATAAATTATTTATCATTTAATGTTTGATCTGTCCTTGCCCTGTCCTGTTTTTGTTTGGGTTCCGCCTGGACTCCTTGCTATTGGTTCTTGTTGCTGGGTCATATGGGGGTTGCGTTCATTGAATGCCGCCTTTCCTTGTTGATCTTGTTTATCATATTTTATAATCCCCTTCCCACAACTGACCCATTTAAAACTTTTCATGTTCGACCATTTTGACACTATTAAAGTAGGCTTTTATCTTCACTGGCGTTTTGAATTTTTACTTCTTACGCAGTATTATCATGAAAAATAAATTGTTTTCCAGATATTATAGAGAGAAGAGGAGTTGGCCTATAATTTCTCGTTATGACTGGCGCAGGTAAAATTTTAAACATTCTTGTATCAGATACATCTATCTGTTTAATAAAAGTAAATATACAAAACAGTTGCTAGAAAAATATACAAAACAGTTGCTAGATTAAAGTGTGCACCTCGCGCAGTATTTCTTGTTTCTCATTATTGCACACAGACGAAATACTCACAATCGGACTGTTGTTTTTTGTCGACTCGAAGATAAAAGCTTTTTGTCATTCTAAGAAATCGTTAGAATATCAAAAAGTAATGTGGCACCCAAAAGATTTTCTAAATCCGGTGCTAGAAGTGATGTTGCACTCATCTCTCATGTACAGACTCAATCAAACCGAGTCTGCAATTTACATGTAATTTTGTTGTGATTAATGCTTCTGAGGGATAACTTTGTTTCCAGATTTTTAATTATTTGATATAATTGTAAAAAACGTTTTAAGTTTTACTGTCTGGTTTAAGCCCGATAACTTGGTAAATTTTGTTTGGAATCCGAGTGAGAGCATTTAGAATTTTTTTTATCTTGTGTTCAGGACTAAACTAGGCAGTAAAACTTGTAAAAAAAATATATTAATGTGTAAAGTCAATCTTTGGTGCGCTACAATATTTTTAAATATTCTAACGATTTCCTAGAATAGAAACAATTTTTTGACTTTCGAGTCCACGGGATGTTTACAAAAAAGAATAATAAAACAAAAACAGTCGGATTGGGAGCATTTTGCAAATGCGCAATGACGTTGTATCCTACAATTGTAAATGTCTTTGTACGAATGTGTAAAATGTAATTGAAAATTGCATAGATGTGCTGTTGTTAAATGCATTGGTCGTAAAATGCGGAACGGTTAACTTTTGCTCAGTTAAATACATTCATACTGTGCAGCTTTGCAGCATTTATATGTAAAATGCATGTGTGCATTGCAGTAAAAGGCATTCATGTAAGACGTATTGATTGAAAGGCATTGCTGTAAAATACATTGAAACATTGCTGTATAATGTATTTTTGTAAAATGCATCTTGATTAGTGATATTTAAATTGTTTAGATTTTCTAAAGTATGATCACTAATGCTTGATTAGATATGTGTTTTCTTTTCAATAATACATAGTTACATAGAACAATATCACACAAATGTGTTCTTTATATAACAAATAGATATTTAGATTACCAATGGAGAGACTCACAACTAAAGGCTTGTAAGGAAGGTGGCATTGTTCTAAGTGACCGTACTTATTACACATTGGACGAAATAAGCCAACAAATAGCTGTTAAAAGTGATGTGATAGAAAACAAAGTTCCAGTCGACATCAGAATAAACAAAATTTCATGTATTGAAAGTAAGTCTTTTTCGTGTTATACGCAATACATAGACTTGTACAGTTTAATGTAATGACGTCTTTGTGAGGTTTTACAACTCCGACGTAATGATATAAATTCTTAAATGTCAAATGTAATTGAATGAAGTGCCATTTTCCAGAATGTACTTGATTATATAGAGTCTAAAGTACCTTTTTACAAGTGTAAAAAAGTTGTCAAGGGTGCTACTGGTATCTGATCTTTCGCATTTACGTTATAGTGTTGAAAACAGAATACTTATTAAGCCAGTGCTAGAGTGTGACTGCACTTTCGATACGTCTTATGATATTTTCTGCATTGATCCTGCAGTTCTCTCCTACTTTTATTTTATTGCTCTATATTTTGATTTTATAAAGATTGCTTTTTCAAAAGAAGTTGCAAATTTAATCTGTGTTTTTATGTTTGATAAATATTAATTCTTCTGGCTATAAGGCAGGTATACAAAATATATAATATCTGTTCGAAAAGGTGTTATTTCATTTAAGATTATCCTCATATTTAAAATACATAGTACTGCAATCTTTATGTTGCAGTAAAACGAATCAAATTTATATTTATACTTGTTTTACACTCTCTTTGCTGTTTAAAACGGTGGTTGGTATCGTGACAAAAAGCTAAAAATAAAATGTTAGAGCCACATATAAGTGAGAGAAAAATGCTTATTTGCTTAGTATTTGTTAATACTAAAATTCTTTTTGTGGCGGCACTTTCTCTTTCCTTGCTTTTTATTATAATAACATTAAGCATTGACAAAGTTAATCATGGGATAGAACACTCATATTAACCAAAGCCTATAAATAAAGCACGAATTTCTAATGAAGCGTTATCATCTCCTGATTAAACTAGACTATAGTGTATTGGAAATAATCAGTTACCCTGTGATTTTTGTGTCCCTGTAAATGCCACTTTTAAATAGTGCACATGTGCTTAATCCTCCTTATAAATGTATATGTATGTCTAAAAACAGACAAAAAAGATTTTAAAGTCTTCAGGACATATGAGGAATTATGATTAATTTATCAAAAATAAACCGTACTGAGGCTGTCAATTGAAGAATGTTCAAACAATCAATTATTGTTTTATATCACAAATAATCTGTAAACTGATGCTATATCTAATTTGATAATGCAAATAGTTTGTACGTTATAGCGAATTTAAAAACCATGTCGACGCACGCCCGGCATAGTGCATAGATTTGCGCTGACAATAGGCGCTTTATGAAGCGTGTATTTTACAAAATGGCACAATTAGATTTCAAAATACGCCGAAACGTCATGAGCCATAATTGACGTTATAAGAAAAAATTACTTCATTTTAACCACATTTATCGTTGCAATCACAATTCATATGTCACTTGAAAAAGAAAAACTCCCGTTAAAATAATGCCGTCGGAACGTCACGAAATTCGATCAATAAGACATTATTGTGTAAGGTAGCCACAACATGGTTTTTGATTGACATAAATGATAAAGAAAGGGTGATTGAGAAATTGAAAAAATAAAAAATAAGGGAGAGTCAGAAAGAAGAAATTCAAGTCAAGGACGCTGTGGACGTCAATCGCAGAGAGAGACGTTTAAAATTTGTAGGCGATTGACTGCGGACATAATAAACGACGTTCGACAGTAGCTAATCTAACTAAGGAATTAAAAATGATACGCAATTATTATCACACTGGCCATAGCTTTCGCAGCAGCGGTGGGCTCATTGCAGCGGCGATGGAGATTTCGTCGCAGAAGCGGTGGATAAAATATGGCCGTTCGCTGCTGTCGTTAAAGTGACATTATGCCCATCCAAGAGTGTATAGTGAGTGAACGGGTGAAGATCAAAATATGTTTTCAATTTGCCATAATCCCTTTTAATTTAATAATTAAGTTCACATAAACAATAAACAATAAACAGATCCAAATGACATTTCTGTAAGTTTACGTATAACGCTTAGTTAATAAAAAGAGTGGGACAGTCTTTTTAAATTTTTTGCAGATTTATAATTTTATCCTAAACATTTTCCAATATCAACTGTTGGTCAAACACCATTTTGACAGTCAATCTCTTGAAATATAAAGTCAATTCAGCTCAACTTGACTATGAAAATATGAGCATAATGTCACTTTAAGTTAATAATTGAATTTTACTTTATTTTTTTAATGTTTTACCGGAAACACCTATTGAGACTGGAGTCCACATATGTACTTTTCCAACTTATTATACGCACACGGTGCATGCAATTCATTGCCATTTGTGCTAACACTTATGTACAGTTTGACGTGGGGACGCAACTTTTGTCTGTTTTAGGTTTAAACAGGTACAAAAATGTGTGCAAAACGGCCCCTTAATGCACCAGCATTACATCATATGTATAATACTTGCACAAGACAACCATAATTTGGAATTTTTCAAAAATTGTTATTGCCTTTTTATAACATAATTGACAAATATTAATGACAACGCAGACGGCGGTGTATTTGATTGCTACGAAGTGCGGTGGTCCCGATGCCATTAATGTCTATTGTGAGGGTTTAACTTGACATAACGCATTTTTTTCAATATAGAATAACCATTGTCTTACGTTGACATCAGTTAAATGCTTTCTTTTAGTGTTTAAAACAATATGATTTTATTTTATAAGAATCTTACACTGGCTATCGGTACAGACCTGAATGTCCAGCTCGAGGTTAACTGTTTTCTGCGGTAACGAGGCTCTACCGAGCAGCCGCTAAACAGTTACCCGAGAGCAAGATATTCCCGGCTAAACCGACAGTAAACGGTAGATAAACTTGTTTAGTATAATATATAACAGTTATACAGCTTGATATACACGAATGCTGTAAATTTGTTATAAAGATTTTTACGGGTTATATGGCCGTATATAAACGGTTGCAACAAAACCTTAGTTTAGCGGTTCAGCAAGAAACGGTCATATAACCTGTCAAAAATCTTTATAACTAATATTATAATACTGTACGTTTATCCAATTGAAATCGACGTAACAAGCTTGCAGTATTTTAAACATATATAGGCAAACAATTAAAGATGTTCGTCATATTTTCTTGAAACGTGGCATGATGTTAGAATATGATAAACATTTCAAGCCAAAAAACTTAGGGGTCATTTTCTGCACAATCATGCTTTTCATTTTTTTTACTTATTTGGGGTAATCACAGGGGCAGATAATTTATACATACGTTTGAAAAAATATTTGTTTCCTTTTGTAATATTCTTCAGTATATTTTACCATATTTTCAACAACAAAAATTCCATGAAATATATCTGTTACCTTTTTCATAATATTAATTCTTTAAAAATATACCATTTTTGATTTCTTCGATGAATGGCACAATTAAAGCAAAAGAAGAAAAACTCCATATTATGTCCTTACTAGTTACAAATACAGAGAAAGTTAGCTAATAAAAATAAGAAAAAATGGATCATATTTACTTTTCATATGATAAACTTGAAAACGAGTCGGTGAATGGTTTTCTCTAATGCAAAGTTTAGAACATTTTTAATTCTGACTCCAAATACGTCCTAAAATGTTATCGTTACAGTTATCTTTTTAGTTTTGACTGTGAACTGTAGTACTTTTGGAAATGTGATAAACGTGTATTTTCTATTACTTAATTCATTTAAGTTGTTGAGTGAATAAAGTAGTAATATTTTATCAAAAGTTTTCAATAATTCAGTACTGAACCCTAAGTGACCATGTACTGCACAGACTGAGTTAAGGATGGAAACTTAAGACTTTACATATACACATGATGCGCACGGTTTATAACAATATCATTGTGGCTATTGGTCTACAAAAGCTCTTTTGTATCACAGTCAAAAATAGAAATACGTTCCCTGTTGTCGATATAGAAAACTCTTTTGTATAATAGGCACAAATAAAAACACGTTCCCTGTTGTCGCAATATGAACTACAGAAAAAGTAACCAATAAATATAACGAGCATCTTAATATGTACTCTCCCGCACATCGGTCGAATGTTCTTCTATCGCCCATTTTCTTGTCTTTAGTAGCGTGAGTGTATTCAGTGAGCTGCGAAGGGAGCGTACTAAATATGACATTTCATTGTTATCCCTTTCACTGTCGTTTCATTAAGTAAACCCAAGAAATAAATGAACAATTGAATGAACATGCTCTCGATCGCGGGTATACTAAAATGTATACGATTTAACTCTGACACATTTTAAATAGAAAGGTCCCAAAACTATGATACAATTATGAATTGGTGTTCTCATTATGGTAATATAACACATTGACATTCAAAACTGAGATTGTTTTTCATATTTAAAAATCATGTTCTGTTAATCTTTACGGGAATTTTTATTATATGTTTGTTGTTCAACCTCGAACTCAAGGTCTTTTTAAGTCCCAGGTTGAACGCAAACTTTTCTACCAAAGGTATTACAGTGGAAGGAAATGGAACCGCAACTCGAACATCAATTTGCATAAATAATCATATTATTTTAATTAAACAAAAGAAATACGTTTCGCTGATGTCAGAGTAAGAAAGGTTTTGTACTCTATTGAAAAATGAGTTATGTCAAGTTAACACTTATAATGGACAATAACTGTATCAGGACAAACGCACTGCGTTGCAATCAAATCGATCGCCGTCTGCGTTGTAGTTATGTTATGTTTATTCTTTAATAAAAAAGGCAATACAATTTTTCAAAAGTTCCAAAATATGGTTGTTTTGTGCATTTATCATACATACCATGTAATGTTGACGTATTAAGGGGTCGTTTTGCACACATGCATACGTGTTTTAACCAAAATTAGGCAAAAGTTGCGTCCCCTCGTCAAACTGTACAGAAGTGATAGCACAAATGGCAATGAATTGCACCTTGTGCGTGTAATAAGTTGAAAAAGTACATATGTGGGCTACAGTCACAATAGGTGTTTCCAGTAAAACATTAAAGCATAAAGTAAAATTCAGTCATAAACTTACCGACAGCAACGAACGGCCATATTTTATCCATCGCTCTTGCGACGAAATCTCCACAGCCGATTCGATGGACCCAACGCTTCAGCGAAAGCTATGGCCAGTGTGCTTATTATGTTCGTGTTTAGATCATTTTACTATTCTACGAAATTGTCTTATGGTGAAATATTTTTCAACAATTTAACAGTCCCGTTCAAAATTGGTTATGCGCTTTATTTTTTTGATAATGACAATTTTGTTCTTAGTTGTATTATTCTTTTATTTTCTCTTATATATGATACATTATCATGCAGCAAAATAATGTTTATATAAGACATATAATAGTTTATTGCATGTGCAATCTTCCAGCAATCAAGTTACAGAAGGAAAGAACGGAAGTTTGCGTCATTACAAGAGTTCATTTATAATCATACGGTCTATTACAATACAGTATGATACCGCCTTGTACAGAGACATGTTTAGGCATTTGCAGTGGATCAGCCGTAATTAACATGTGGAACACGTATTGGCCTACTTGTGAGCGCTTGCAACGTCGTTAACGTCAAATTTTAAAGTTATACCGTGGGCAGGGTCGCTTTTTACATGCACACATGCATTAACGGCAGACATTTCCATTTGTTAATGTTTCTTGTTGGTATTTTTCGCTTCATATAGGGGATATATTCCGATTTATGTTCCGTGTATTTTTATGTAAATGCATCTTACATGATTTCCTTACATATGTTCATATCGTGATTAAATTATTAAGCATATGAAATCCCATTATTATAAGATTTTATGTCCTGAAGAAGACTTAAAAATCTATTTCAATTTTTATACATACATAATACACTTATAAGGAGGATTAAGCATATGCACTTTTTACAAGTGACATTCACAGGGACGCTGATCATTTCCATTACACTATAGTCTAGTTTAATCAGCAGAAATCCGTGCTAAATTTATAGGCGGGGCTTAGTATGCTAAGTGTTCTGTCCCATGATTCAAATTATCGATTAAATATTTTTCAGTAGATCTATACAATAAATATTTCTAATTATACAATATATTTTCAAATATAGAACATACATAAAGAAAATTATCACACACAAATATTTTTTATGATGAACAAATATTCAGTAGGATTGAATAAATATTATGGTATAGAATATAAAATTAAAACAAAAATTAAATTTATTGAATATTGTCACGTTTAACGAAACAATTCATATATTAAAATATTAAATATAAAGACTTTTAAAACAGGCGTTATACATACAAACGATGAAAATAGGTATGTTTGTTACGGGGACAATACGACGATACCAAAATCTGAGGTATGTAACTATGACGTAGATGCAGCGGGTTATATGACTGGATGTAGGTCAGGAATTCATCTGCAAGACTGCGGTAAATAAAAGGCCACAGTATATTAAATACATTTTATTTTTAAACGATTATATAACTCTTTGTTAGTTTTACATACATTTGAATAACTGTTTTTTAGTAAAATCTCCTCTAAGATTAATATTTATGTCATCTTTTGAGACACGCTCAGTAAAGATTGGAATATATTACCATTCATTCTAAGGAATAACAGTTGAACAGATATAAACAGACCATCTGTATGTAGATTTGAAATGATTCTACATTTCTGGTACAAATCTCCCACCCACACTGTTCAAAGAAAATTGGTCAAAGTTGGAAGTAACAAATGTCTTGAAATTGAAATCGATAACCTTTTATCAAATTAAAATTGAATGACCAACAACTTCCGTACGTGTCTAGTTATTTCATCAAAGCTGTCAACCCTATTCAAAAGAAACCAATACCAATACATATAATTCATAAAATGAAGTGAACGTCAGTTTTCAATTTTTCTTTTGTAAGCTTTCTGATATGCATGGAAACATGCTTAACCGTATATCAGTCAAGCCTTAAAATCATAAACACTAAATGGAAGGCGTGCTTAAATGAAATTGGCAAGAAATGAATTATTGGCAATCTAAGTGCACCAAGGTATTCCAACTCTAAAAGACTCTACTGTAAAATTAGGAAGAACAAATCTGTTTAAAGATTACTTATGAAATAAAACTATTTATGTATCAAAAACGGACTTCAACTGTTGATGTAGCATTAATTAATCGTCTACAAAACTATCAGGATTCTATTGTACAAAAAACTGTCAAGGTACTTATTACATTCTTGTTTCAGAGGATTTCGTCTGCCCCCCAAATACAGTTAAATGTCCAGATAGTTTTTGCATTGCTCTTCGTTTTGTGTGTGACGGGATGGCCCAGTGTCCTGGTGAAGAGGACGAACACAATTGCTGTATGTACTAAATGTTTATTCACATACGTTCTTGGAGTGTTATGACAGCAATTTCATTTTACGATATATATCATGCACTTATTCATGTAGACAGTCCACACAAAATGCATAATTATTTTGGTAACTTTCAGCATGTGTTAGTGGGGACAAAGAAGTTATCATTTTGATAGAGGATACAAAACAACAGATAAGCAGTAAAAGGGCCGCAGCATTATTAGCAAAACAATTCAAACATGGGAACAATAAAGTAAGAATACTTTCTTACCAGGCGAAGACAAGATTAGACGACTTTCCTCTCATACATCGACTGCTAGAAATACGTGAAGAAAACATTGATAGCTTCGACGCATTAAGTTCCGATTGCACATATAAGACTATGGCTAGAAATTTTCTCCCATCTTTACAGTTTAAAAACGATGTAGGGAAGTTTCTTATTTTTATTGAAGATAGTGTTGAGTCATCTACAGTTGCTAGGATTATGTTTTCTAATATATATAGACCAGAATTTACCATATATCGTGTCATCAGAAATTTCAGTTTTTTAACCAACCTTGATCACACCTACGAATTTGTAAAAGATGTACGCATCAATAAATGGAGTTCACTACATTCGATAGGATACAGGCATTTCCCAGAAATATGCAAAGGTTGGTTTGATAATAAATTTTAAGGTCAGCTCTCAAATAATTTTATTGTTTACTCACATCCTTTTGATTATACATAATTAATTGTCAGGTAATGTTTAACCATCCCCATGGTTTTGTTTGCTTTCTTTCAATTTTAAGTTATAGAATTCTTCCATGTACAGCTTGATAATCGTCAAATGGTTTGAACATTTTAGCTCACCCGAACAGAAGGTTCAGGTTGAGCTTTAAGTATCAAAAGGGATGCTCTGGCGTTCGTCGTCCGTCGTCATGCGTCAACATTCATCTTTGTCTCTGAAACCACTGGATAGATTTACTTCAAATTTGAACTTGTTACACAAGCTAAAAATAATCAAAACCCTAAGACATCTTCTACTTCAGAACTAATTGATGGATGATTACCAAACTTTGTCTTATTATTCTGATGTAGTCTTATATCAAATTTGCTCATGTTAATTTGATCGGTCTCTTTAAGAAGTCTCTAAGGCTTAAAAAGAAAAAAAAAACTTCTTCTACTGATACAATTGATGGATGGATCACCACAATTTGCCTGCTTCATTCTTAGGTAGTATTTTATCCAATTTGCTCATATTAATTCGATTGGCCTTTTATATAAAGGCCTCTAGAGGCCAAAGAATTTCTTCAAATTATAGTTTAATCAAAGTGGACAAAATCATGTTCGAATGTCTTTTATACATGTTAACATGTTATGCATTTTTGTCAAGCAAAATACTGTTATATTGAATCAATTATTACACTATGTGCTTTTGTATCTAAACAGTATACATATCTGCACATTGTTTCTCGTTTAACATGCTAAAATATAACCCTGACCCTAAAACTCACTAGACATGCACTATGGCAAAGTTTAATTGTATAGAAAATATATATTTCTGGTACTATTAAGTGTTGTGTCATTACATTTTTTCACAAATCAATCTATCTTGTTAAGCTAGGTAACAATAAAATAAAGTCATCTTCTGTTTGTGTAAATAATTTTCACCTCTAGAATTTGGACACCATTGCATCATACTATAAATCATTCTGCAGGATCAGTTGTAGGTCGAGGATTTTCTCTTGTGATTAAACTCAGGCCTTAATGAAGATTACAATTGTTTCCTCTACCTAACTAACAAAGATAAGTGTGTATGCTTAATTTTTTTATTTTATTAAGTTAAAAGTTGCTGTTTCTAATTTCTTTCATTTTTGTTGAATTGGATTCAAACTTCCAATCATTTTTAGGACACACTGTTGAACCTTACATCTGTTTCATAATTGATTTGTGATATCACTTGAGCTGTAATTGATATTTTTGAAACCAATTGACCTACTTTCTTGTTTTTTGATGTACCGACTTAAATTTTTGATTTTTGAGGTCAACTGACCAACCATTGATATTAATAATATCATTTGACCTACTTTTTTTTTTTTTTGATGTACAGACTCGAACTTTTGACTAGGGTTGTAATTATTGATTTTAAATTGAATTTTACTATGAGCTGAGCTACATTTAATATTTTTGATATATCTTTAAAACAATTGGACAGGGGTGTAATTTCTTATTTTAAATCTAATTTTGATACCAGCCGACCTACTTTTGATATTTTTGCTATTGCGTGACCTAGTTTCTCGTTTATTGATATACGGACTTAAAATTTAGGCCATGGGTGTAATTTCTGACCCCAAATTAAATTGTTTATATCAGCTCACCTAATATTGATATTACTGAGATCATTTGACCAACTTTCTTGCTTTGTGACATATAGACATAGATTTTTGACCAAGGGTGTAATTTCTGATGCTTAATTGAATTTTGATATCAGCTGACCTACTTTTGATATTTTTGATATCATTTTACCTATTTCCTTGGTGTAATTTCTAACGCAAAATTGAATTTTAACATCAGCTCACCTACTTTTGATAGAATTGATATCATTTTACCTACTTTCTTGCTTCTTCACATAAAGAAATAATGACTTGAATTTCGATATCAGCTTACCTATTAATAATAATTAATTTAATATCATTTGACGTATTTTATTGTTTTGACATGATACAGACTTGAAATTTCTGATGCTTCATTGAAAGTTGATATCAGCTGGCCTACTTGTGATATCTTTGATATTGTTTGTCGTATTGTCATTATTTAGGAGTTATATTACCTACATATTAGAATGTATAAATAAGCTTTATCATTTTCGGTTTTCCCAATTTTAAAACTTAAAAAGTCTACACCTTACATATTTTCCATTTGACATTTGTGTGTTTTCATTTACAAATGTTATAAAAATTGTTCCATTAAAATTAACCCTGTTCTAGGTGTCATTTATTCTACATTTATTCTACATAATCTTATAAGAACACACTTGCAACATAGATTTTTTTAAACAAAGTCTTTCAAAAATATTAGAAGAAAATATTTCAATTTATATTATGAACAATGACATAATGGGTCAGGTGTGTGAACTTAGGCCATCATGACCCTCTTGTTTATTTGAAAGAGAAAATCAAAACAATCAGTGTTGTGAAACTATATAACTAGAGGGGCAAGCTGAAGTTTAGCTGGACTCCCGCAAGTTTATTTGGATAATAAATTTTCTAACACTGAAAAACTTTTGTTTCTAGTGAGCAATTCCGGGCCATCATGGCCCTCTTGTTGTATTGGACTTGTCATGGTGTCTTTCAGTGCAAAGGCAATCTTACAATGGGACTCTTTCATAAGTAATTAGGCATTTATTTCTTAAAGATATGCAATGTACATCAGTTAATAATATATTTTCATTTATACGCTTCATTTTACTTCTTGCAATCTTGTTTTTCAATCAACGCGCAATAAATACTAAAAGAGATAAAAACGCGATTCAGAAAGAATGTCAAAAATGGCAATATTGAAAATGTTGCAGGCTTGGTTTGATTGAGGCTGTTCATTGACGGTTGTTGCTATAGCAATTCAGTATTTGCCCCCCTGACACCAGGCATCGTAAAATATCATTTAATGTCTCTATACTTGTGTGCTTTCAATAACACAAACATAAATCTTTCAAGTTAGGAAAGCATGCTTTTTATATCATCATAAATTTTCCTTTTATTTTCTGTACAGAGGTTTCACATGTGCCGTGTGCTGGTGGTTTTAGGTGCTTATCCAGTAAACAATGTATACCTCTTCACCAAGTATGTGATGGCATAGTCCACTGTATGAATAAAGATGACGAACAAATGTGTGGTTTTAGATGTCATTATAAATGCAATTGTGTAGACAGCGCGGTTGATTGCCGAAAAGCTAATTTAACTATTTCAGATATACATGACCTGTCAAGGAGAACTCGAAGCGCCGACTTAAGCTATAACTATGGAATAACAGATATTTTATCAAAAGAAAACATTCACTTTCCTTTCATGTTGTTCCTTGATGTGTCAAACTGTCGTATAGAAGTTGTAAGCAGTATGGCATTTTCAGACATAAACAATTTATTGAAACTCAACATTAGCCACAATATAATAAAAAAACTTTCTGACAACGTATTTAGAGATCTTCGACACCTAGTCGAGCTAGACCTTGATGGAAATTCAGAATTAGAAGAAATATCTGCTTCAGCATTTCAAGGTTTACAAAGTATTAAAACCTTAAGAATATCGGGAACGAAATTAAAGAAAATCGCAACCTTAACATTCTCAAATTTGAAATTGGAAAGTATTGATATATCAAATAATGAAATTCGTGAAATTGAAAATTTTGCTTTTAATAATACGTCGGTTAAAAAGATCAATTTTGAAGGCAACAATATACTCGAATTCCATCAGTTCATTTTTTCAGATGTTGTTGCTTTGATTGAATTACGTACACCGGCGTATAAATTTTGTTGTATACGACCGTGTTATGTCAAAGAAAGTAACTGTTATCCGTCAAAGAATGAGTTTTCATCTTGTGACGACTTAATGAGACATCCAATTCTGCAGGCAGTTTTATGGCTGGTTGGAATAGCTTCATTACTTGGAAATCTCGCATCAATTGTCTATCGTGTTGTATATGACAGACAACGACTTAAGATTGGTTATGGAATATTCGTAACGAATTTGGCATCTGCAGATTTCCTTATGGGAATATATCTTATTGTAATAGCGTTTATCGATACTATTTATAGAGGCAGGTAGGTCTTTTTCTTTTACAATTTTATCGTATTTTACATTTAAGATAATTAAATTATCATAATAAAAATCATATAATTTACATCATGTATCTTAGTCAAGTGGAAAATGTCAAATTAAAGATCTAATCCCTTTTACAGGTATATTTACATGGACGACCAATGGCGAAACAGTATATGGTGTACCCTAACCGGATTTTTGTCAACCGTATCTTCTGAAGCAAGCGTCTTCTTTTTATGCCTTATAACAATCGATAGACTCCTTGTTATCAAATATCCTTTTGGACACGTAAGGTTTACACCAATGAAAGCTTATATTTGCTGTTTAATTTGCTGGATCATTGCAGTATCTCTTGCGGTTATTCCTATTATCCACACAGGCTATTTCAAGAACAAGTTCTACTCCAGATCTGGAGTATGCATTGCATTACCTTTGTCACGTGATAAACCTCCGGGCTGGATGTATTCCGTTTCAATATTTGTCGGCTTAAATTTCAGCACATTTATCCTTGTTGCATTTGGTCAGTTGTCAATCTTCTTAGAACTTCGAAAATCTAGCATGGTTGGCAAGAAAACACAGAAATCAAGAAAAAGAGATCTACAAGTAGCGAAAAATCTTATCCTTGTTGCAACAACCGATTTCCTTTGCTGGTTTCCAATTGGATTAATGGGTAAATGATAAATATCAGTAATCTTCAAACTATAAATTCGACAATTCGAAATCTTTATATCTAAAATGTGAAATAAAAACAATTTCGTCTTCTTTAACGATAACATCGTTAATAGTTTTTTTCTATTATATTTTGCTTGAAATCTTATTACAACATGTGAATTCATCATGTCTAGTTGATTTCATTTACATTATTTAAATCATTTAGTAAACACTAAACTTCATGCAGTGAACATACACTTAATTATATGCGACAGACTCTCCTTTGTGTACTTAATTTTTTAATGCAGATGTTATTTTGTGTATGGTTAAGCGTTGGATTCTCCTTTCTATATACACGTAATTTTATGTGTCAAACTCTCATTGTTTGCTCGATTATTCGAAGAATAAAGGAAAGGAAAGCTATTGTATTCATCACGGCGTCAGTATCACACTCTTGTTTATGTTTGCGTGCAAATTGGTTTTCTAAAACTACTTAATGAATTGGTTTTAAACTTAACACACTTTCACTCTTTTAAGAGCGTAAAAGGGGTCAATCTCTGTCCAAGGTCTAAAACACGTACATAGATTTTGACAGAATGATGGCCCTTTTTAAACTTAAAAAATTCATTATACTCTTGCTTAACTATCAAGCACTGAGATTAGTTGAGCACGCTGTCCTGCTGACAGATCTTGTTGCACTTAAGTTTATGCTGCAGACTCTTCCTTTTGTAATTTCAATTTATGCTGCAGACTTTCATTTTCGCATTTAGGTTTATGCGGCAGACTTTTATTTCTCCACATACTTTTATATCCTAGACTCTTCTTTTAGCACATACAATTATGCTGCAAAATATCCCTTTTTGCGCTTAATTTAATTCTACAAACATTTTTTTTGCATTTTTGCTTTGCTACAAACCATCCTCTTTCACTTAAATATTTAATACTACAACTACATTTTGCCTTTAAGTCAATGCTGCAGTCGGTCAGTCCATGCGGCAAGTTGGCATTTCCAACTTACTTTTATGATACAGAGGTTCTTTTTTGTACTTAATTTTATACTGTCGATTATCCTCTTCACACATTAAATTATGCTATGTGGTGGTCTCTTTTCTGCAAAAGTTATTTCAGTGTTCAGTGTTTCACGAGTTGTTAGTAAAATTGAAAATTGTTCCTTTAGATTTTTTTCTTTTTTGTTTTGCAATGTGGGTTAAGGTTAAAATTTCTTTTTATTATACCATATGACTAAATATGATTTCCTTTTTTTTGTAATTCAGGAATACTTTCATTGAATGGATACACTATTTCTGGAGATGTATACGCATTTACTGCAGTGTTTATACTTCCTTTTAACTCGGCATTGAATCCTTTTCTGTACACACTTTCAGCAATAATTGGCAAAAAAGTAAGAAATCACACAAGCTATATTGTTCAAGGTTGGCTGCATAGGTTTTAAAACATGTAATGCTTGCTTGGAAGGAAAAAGAAAAATCAGCAGTATGTTAATGATAAAGTTTATATCTATAAGCATTTCTGTAGTGAAGCCGAAAACGTTAAGGCGATTTATCCAGCTAAAAAATGGAGGAATTTGCCCTGCCCTTGCATTATTTTTAACACAAGAGCGGCTATCTGCATAGTAGATACGCAGATCTTATGTAAGCTATATTGATCATCACATAAAGAATCCGTACTCACTAGCGGAAAACCTAACTCACAGCAGCCTTATCCACTCGGCCACAGATGTCCTACGCACTTTCAAATTATTTTCAATGCTTTTGCTTTCTTTTGGGTAGAATTTGAATACTGTAAATGTATAGAATGGCAAAATGTATACTTTTAAATTATATGTATTGTATACTTTAAAATATTTTCACAATGAAATATCAAACATTAAGCAAGACGTTTTATGAATACAAGTTATGCATTTTGCAGAGCTTCAATCCAAGCCTAGATGAACAGAGTAGAACAGAAATGCAGAAAGGTAAATATGTTTACATTAATATTAACTGTTTTTAAGCAAGCAGAAAGTAATAGGAAAAATAATTATATTTTGATAAACCTGTTAATGTTCGATCTTTAAATTGTTGTCGTATAGGTGTGCTTTTTTGGACATTATGAGGTATCATACTACGTCATACTATGAGCGTATATAATCTCACTTATTGTGCGTTAAATAATTATGAGCATTTTAGCAAAAATGTATATAAATAAATGAATAAAAAACAATACGAGGGTAAACGATATTGATTATAATGATAATAACAAATAATAAAGGACAGCACAATTACAATAAAAGCAACACCAGCAGTAACATAAATTGAAGAAAAAAAGAATTCAATATCCGTTTGGTAAAGACAAAGGTAATTTATATTTATTGCAAGAAGACTGAATTAACATTGATAAGGTTTTTTACGAGACTGCCATGTCCACAGATTAATATCATTATTATTATTATTATTATTTTAAAGAAAAGAGTCGACCAATCAATCTACTAGTCCTTCATCAATACTGTTATTTATCTTCTCAAATTGCTAACTTCTATTTTACAATAAATTTAGTGACACCTGATTTAACATATTAAGATATTTTGGTTGCTGGGATAATAGTGCTAGCATATTATAAAAAGGAAATATAAATATCCAAATATTTAACAATAGAAAAGGGATAGATCACTCGACGGAAAATCCACGACATTGCCAATTAGGACACAAAAATGTATCACGGAATCACATACTAATAAACAAATATTCCAGGTGAATTAAACTGATTTTTCGACACGACATTTTTTCAGAGATAGGTTCAGCTATCTTGAATTACACAGATTTTAGCCGATCGGTTATAACTAAACGAGAAATTGTGCCAGATGGGAAAACGAGAAGAATCAAGGATGTTCTTGATGACGATGAAAACATGTCTGTAGCAAGTGTAACTGCAATATCCTATCACCTTGCTAACTATCTTAGTCTTCTCCATGAATCAAGTGTTGGAATTGAAGAACTTTCAGAAACTAACACCTTCATCCCATATGGAAAGAAAAAAGTAAGTGTCATAATAGTTATTTGCTAATTCAAATGATTTACTTAGATGAGGGTTGAAGTTTAACATTTACTTGTCATATTAAATTTCCATTTATTAATTAATGTAAAGTTTCATGTCATTGTTATATGTTATAATTATCGCTTTGCTAGACTAATGTGTTCAGTTTAAGCATATTCGTTATAGTCGTTTTGAATTTAAATTTTTTATCTATTGTTTTTAAATTTATATACAATTTAGTGGAATGAAATGAAATATAATTCCTTTGGTTTGTCACATTCATTTTCTCAAACAAAGTGCTGAACAAAAACTCAAAATATCTCATGATCCGAACGTTTCAAGGACAAATACTAAATACTGGCAAAAATGATATATATACATGTATATATATATACTTCAACTTATACATCTTTAAGATATGAAATATATTATGTACATGACTGAAGAAATAATGTTTAGAAATAATAGAATGATATGCATACGCCTTTAAGATTTCTTTTTGATGTATAACCGTTTTAAAGTTATGTCTTTTTTTAAGTTCACGCATCTTATGTTTTTTTTATTCTTTTTTTTCAAAACCTTGCAAAACACATTGTTTCATTATTCATAGGCAAAAAACCCAATCATAGTCCTTGATACGAAAATGACACTTGCAATCGACGATCGAAAGAAAGCTGATAATATCTATCAATATGGGTGCCTTTTACGAAAGATGATAACAAGATGTAAGGCAAACGACAAAACAATTCCGAACGAGGGAAACGTGCAGAACTTATAATCCTTGTATGTAAGAATATAATATGTTTGGATTAGGTCAAATAGTGTGCTGTATGAAGAAAAGAATAGAAATGTACGCCATTTTGAAGATGAAAGAAAGAAATTTCCTTATAACAAAAACAATTTTGTTAAAATTACATGTCCGAGATGTTAACGATTTTGAGTATGAGTAGTAAGACAAACGTTTATAAAAATCAAGACAAGTCGTTCTGAATTTATTGTTAGTATAAATATTGTTGTTTAAACTTTACTGTTGTTATAAACGTGTTTGCTGTTGTTAAGAAATAATTGTAGAAATTAGTGTCACTGACATTTCTTTTGACAATAGCTTAAAAGGAAACCTGTGGAATATTATTAATTTTATGTCTAAAGTGATATTTCTGTCTAAAATAGTGTTCATATTTTTGGTTGTCTAGAACATCTGTCCGCCTAAATAACTTGATTACAATAAATAAATTTAAGAATTAGTACTTTGATTATTCTTTAAAGTAATTTATTTATAAGTATTATATCTAATATTTGTTTATATCCAATGTGTTATTTGCTTTATGATTATATTGAAATGAAAAGGAATACTTGGATGACCATTCGATTATTGTATTTATCATTGCTTAATAGTTAAAGTAACCTTTTCATATTGTATCATTGCAAAGAATTCAGACCGTTTTTTTGTTAATTTCACCAAAACGTTTTCGTAAGAAACAAATTTGCTTTAAATGAAGACGTGCTTAATTGCAAAGTATAAGTAATACAATATGGAATACACAACCTATAGACAATGCAGACAAAAATACGTCTTGAGTTTGAATTATAAAGAAACAATACTACAATGTATAATTGTAAATTGATACTTTTTAAACCGTGATGAACGTTGATATTACTTAAATGTGTATACCTATATATTTTCTTTTTGTTGTTGTTGTTTTTAATATCGTAATTGTTTATAATATCTTCGTGAGTATGAACAACAGTTACTGATGTTCCATGTGTTGCTGTTGTTAACAAAATATTCATTAGTGGTTTTTTTTGGTGTCACTGACGTAAATTTTTGATTAAAACTATCAATTTTTATAACACGCGAGGTATTTACGCACGCGTAAAATGTTTGCGGAGGAACGGTCATCTGTGCACTACAAACCTTTAAAATTTAAAAAAGCCGAATTAAATGCTACAGAGACGAATTTCTGTTAAGATTTGCGCAGTTGTTGTAATTAAAGGAGAAGCGTTACGACACGAAAATTCGATCGTGTCCGTACTAAAAGTACTCGTTTAATGCTATGACAGGACGGTTACGCTTAAATAAATGCTGTATATGCCAGGAATCTGACACCATCTGTCTTATTTATATATTAACAATGCAGCTCCTAATGGTTTATCATAATGCCTTGAACATATATCAATTATATCCCGATTAAGCGATATATAAACTTTGAATTAGCAAATGAACAACGATTAACGTTCAAATTGTGCATAAGCGTAGTATATAAGGCATTAAAGGCATCAGACCCGTTACCAAATCTAACAAAAATGAAGCAGGACATGTGTGACGTCGCTTTCTATATTAAAGGCGGCTATTTAGGTTTTAGAAACTTAAACTATGTTCTCGCAGCACTTGCATCTTAAAAGCCAAAAAAAACAAAACTTTAAAAGATAAATTTCTTCAAAACGAACTTGTTTCCTACTTTCTAAAAGCCAACAAATGGACATATTGGAGCATACGATTAGATATTTTTTATGACATTGCAATGCAACAGCTCTGACACCAATGCGTTTTGTCCAAATGCGAACCAGTTCCCGTTTAGGCGGAGAGAACGTGTTTACGCATAATTTATTTAAGCTTTATTCCACGGAATTACTTATCGGTAGACAACAGACAGTTTCACAGTCCATTATTTGTATACGGATATAAGAAAACATAGTCTTTCTGTTTGAGTAATATGTTAGCAACAAAGTCGGAAATTTAAAAATTGGTCATGAAGCATACAGCGGATGTATGTGTGTGAATGCTTTTATGTACTTAAAAATGTATTATTGACGACTTGCAAACATAAATCGTGTAATTACTTTGTAAATCATGCGTCATATTCAAAATCATATAAGACTCAGCTGCTTCGCAGGAAATAAGGTTGAATGTGTTCCCTAAGAAATAGGGTTAGGTTATGTGACATATCTGTCCTTTTTTATGTAATTTAAATGTTTCCAAAAATATGTTTATTGTTGGGTTGTTAGCTCACATGAGCTTGCTCAGGGTGAGCTTTGAGGATCGTTGAATGTCCGTCGTCCGTTGTCTGTCGTCCGTCGTCCGTCCACACTTGTTCGTTAACACTCTAGCGGTCACATTTTTGCCTCAATCATCATCAAACCTGGTCATGATGCTTATCTAGTTGATAGCTTGGATGAGATTGAACATGGGTCATCTCGGATGAAAAACTACGTCACCGGAGCTAAAAAAAATCAAAAACATTGTTAACACTCTAAAGGTCACATTTTTGTCTCAATCATCATCAAACTTGGTCAGGATGCTTGTCTAGGTGATAGCTCGTATAAGTTTGAACATGGGTGATAGCTCGTATAAGTTTGAACATGGGTCATCTCGGATGAAAAACAAGGTCACCGGAGCAAAAAATTGAAAATTCTTGTTAACACACTAGCGGTCACATTTTTGCCCCAATCATCATCAAATTTGGTCAAGATGCTTGTCTAGGTGATAGCTCGGATGTGTTTGAACATGGGTCACATCGGATGAACAACTAAGTACCGGAGCTAAAAATAGAGAAACCTTGTTAATACTCTAGCGGTCACATCTTTGCCTCAATCATCATCAAACTTGGTCAGGATGCTTTTCTAGCTAATAGCTCGAATGAGTTTGAACATGGGTTATCTCGGATGAAAAACTAGGTCACAGGAGCTAAAAATATAAAAACATTGTTAACACTAGCGGTCACATTTTTGACTCAAGTGTCATCAAACTTGGTCAGGATGCTTGTCTAGGTAATTGCTCGAATGAGTTCGAACATGAGTCATCTCGCATGAAAAACTAGGTCACCGGAGCTAAAAATAGAAAAATCTTGTTAACACTCCAGTGGCTACTGTTTTGATCAAAGTATCCTGGTAATTGGTCTGAAAGTTTGTTTTGATGATTTCTAGGTCAAGTTTGAATATTGGTCACCTGGGTAAAAAACTAGGTCACACTGCTCAAATATGGATAATCCTTGTTAACACTCTAGTGGTCACATTTTCGACTCGCCTGTCATGAAATTTGGTCAGAATGCTTGTCTAGGTAATTGTTCGGATGAGTTCGATGGGTTAGATGAGCGATCTAGGGTCATCATGGCCCTCTTGTTTAAAATATATTTACCTTAAAATTTTATATCTATTGTCTATCGTTATTTTTTATCATTGATTTTGTTTTCAAAAAAATACTTTAATGACATTTCGGTTATTTTGTAACTGTTATAGAAATCAAAGTCACGTGACGATTTCATATTTTATTCTCACAGCTTATGTAAAAATGAGCATTTATGCAAAGTACTTATTTCATATTGTATATTGACAGCTTATAAAGAAAACTGTTTTAAAATTATTGTAAGTATAAATGTAATTGTTTAAGCTGTTTTGTTGTGATTAACGATATTAGAATTTAATTTGTATATTGTATATTATAGATTGTTGTAAAGGTTTTAACAACTTTTCGGAGTTTTAAAAACTATTTACAGTTTAACTGTTTCGCCAATGACCTTCAACTTTGACAACAGTTTTAAGGATCACATTGAATGCAGTATCCGCCAACGGAGCTCGCACGTTTAAATGATTTCAACTTCACGTATTCACGATTTCAATTTCATGAATTCAGGATTTCAACTTCACGAACTCAACTTCGTGAATTCACGATTTCAACTTTCCGAATTCACGATTTCAACTTCACGAATTAAATTGAAAACAGGAATTCACGAAGTTAAAATTGTGAATTCATGAAAATGAAATCGGAAATTCATGAAGTTGAAATGGCCCTACCGGTCTTTCGTATATTCTTGTACTGGTGTAACTCTCCAGGAACGATGGTAAGGAAACTACCCTCCTATATGACTGAAATACTGTTGGGAAAAGGCGTTAAATCAAACAAACTAACAAAAGTACATTATGATATTGATGCTGTTATGTCTTTATATCTTGCTTCCTTAATCAGTTTTTACATGCGGGGATATAGAATATTTATAATGCTCATATATTATAGCATTTTTCCGTAAATCTGTATTTCGATTATTTTTAGCTCACCTGTCACAAAGTGACAGGGTGAGCTTTTGTGATCGCTTTTCGTCCGGCGTCCGTCCGTCGTCCGCCTGTCCGTCCGTCCGTAAACTTTTACTTTAAATGACATCTCCTCATAAACCACTGAGCCAATTTCATCCAAACTTCACAGGAATGTTCCTTTGGTGGTCACCTTTAAAAATTGTTCAAAGAATTTAATTCCATGCAGAACTCTGGTTGCCATGGCAACCAAAAGAAAAAAACTTTAAATATCTTCTTTTAAAAAACCAAAAGAGCTAGAGCTTAGATATTTTACATGAAACATCTTCTAGTGAGTGTCTACCAAGTTTGTTCAAATAAAAGCCCTGGGGTCAAAATTGGCCCCGCCCAAGGGGGTCATTGATTTTCCCCATATGCATATAGTAAAAACTTAAAAAATCTTCTTGTAAAGAACTCAAAGACCTAGAGCTAAGATATTTAGCATGAAACATGTTCTAATGGGTGTCTACGAAGTTTGTTCAAATAAAAGCCCTGGGGTCAAAATTGGCCCCGGCCCGGGGGTCATTGATTTTCCTTATATGTGTATAGCAAAAACATAAAAATCTTCTTTGAAAAAAAAACCAAATAGCTAGAGTTAAGATATTAAGCATGAAACATCTTTAAGTAAATATCTACAAAGTTTGTTCAAATAAAAGCCCGGGGGTCAAAACTGGCCATGCCCCAGGGTTGTCATTGTTTTTAACTATATTTGTATAGTAAAAACTTAAAAAATCTTCTTTTAAAAAACCCAATGAGCTAGAGCTTAAATTTTTTGCATGAAACATCTTCTTATGGGTGTCTACCAAGTTTGTTCAAATAAAAGCCCTTGGGAAAAAATTGGCCCTGCCGGGGCTTGGGGATAGGGGAGGGCAGAGGTCATTGTTTTTCATGATATGTGTGTAGTAAAAACTTAACATCAAGAAACATCTTCTAATAGGTGTCTTCCAAGTTTGTTCAAATAAAAGCCCTGGGGTTTAAACTGGCCCTGCCCCATGGGCCTATATACAGGTGAGCGACCTCAGGGCCATCATGGCCCTCTTGTTTCTTTTATAATTGAATTTTTTAAAGGTATATATGTACTATATGCATACTACTGAGTAAGAATTTTACTGAAAAAGGGCTGATTGTGTTTTATAATGTTGTTTATAAATAAATATAAGGAGAATGGTAAGTTTTCACTTCCTTGATATGCATTGTCTTATTGCCTATTTTATATCTGTTGTATTTATTGTAGATTCACTTTGATTTATTAATAAATATTCTTTTGTAGCACGTATCTTATCTTTTACCTCATTACAAAGAAAAAGGATCTTAAAGCTTTTAAATCAACTTCCCAGTTCGCTACATGATATAACATATGTGATCAAAGAAACAATGCCGTGTAAAAATATGTTCCCTGAGTTTACACATTTCAACACAAAGTCGCTTGTCCTACATTGATCAAGGTATCTGGTCCACATTTGTTTAACTTCGCTTGTCCAAATGTGTTTTGATCAGTAAAAGTTAAGGTTATTTGTCTCACATTGTTTAAAGTCATTTTTCCTCATTAGTTCAAGGTAAATTGGACATATTTTGACCAAAGCTGAGTTTTATTTAAAGAAATTCATGGAACTATTAAACATCCTTACGTTGTAGTTATCGACCTGGAATATCACTTGGAAATGTATTATAACCTAAGTAAACACGTTAATGCACATATCCATTAGGTAAAAATAACAGATTTACATTTAACGATTTGTATTTTACCGGAACTCAAACATTTTCCTTCTTCGTTTTCTCTTCCTCTACATGATTATTGAAATGTAAGACAAAGAAAAAAAACCAAACAAAAACACCAAAACATCAAGCCATAGTATCTCGAAAAAAAAGCTCGAACTATTGCTTCAGCCATGATGTCGTTCCCGTTGCCGTTGGCGTCTACACACTTTTAAATGTGTCATTTGTTATTTCAAAGATTTGATTATTGAACAAAAGAATATTAAGGCAAAACTGTAATGTTTTTTTTTGTTAAATTAAAATACAACCTTGACGTTTTAATATCATTAAACATTCAAAGTGAAGTTATTGAAATGTGCATATAGGTCGTATACTTTTATCATTAATTAACAAATTTGATTATATAATTCAAACAGGACAATGACCGTTAGACGAACCTGGCACTTAAAGTCAAATTATTGTAAATAGTGGTATTATTTTTGTAAGTTTTTACAGATTTGATTCATACCTACACAAAACTCGACTTAATCAAAAGCTGACATGTAGACGTATCAAGTTTACAATATTGTTTTAAGCATACTTCATACTTAATGTACGAGTTCATACTTAATGTACGAGTATGCTTTTGATTTAAAGAT